TTATCAGTTGTTGACTGAAAACTAGAGATTCTGCCTATAGTGTGCATATCTGCTGATTTTCTTGGCTATGGTAGTTATTTGCTGCTTTATTATTTCCACTGCTTTCTTGATCTTCCTTGACTCTAGATGATATTTCTTGATCAGGTATTCTTTGCTCTTCTTGCTTTTTAGCTTCATTTCTTCCATTTGTTCTAGCTTGCTTCCATCTGAACTTAGCAAGTTGATGTTATTTTCCAGCCTGATTTCCATTTTAATTTCACTTTTTTTCTTGTTTCTTGATTTTGCATTCAAGATCTTCTATTATAACTATAGCTATGTTGGTTTGTTTCTCGCAGTGAGCTGGTGCTTATCTTTGATATTACAATGCTGGCATCTTTTGATACTTGTGCTGGCTGGTTTTTAGTAAGACGTTTCAGCACAGGCAACTTTTTGTTTTTTGTTTTTTGTACTATTCTACATGCTCAGTTATTCTTTGTTTCAATTCCTCTTCTTTTTTTAATTAGAGAGCTTTGCTGTTGACTGAGAATTTTGTCTCTAGGCAGATTTTCTAAGTGCCATTCAACAGTTTTTTCATATGGCACCCAGTGTACCAATAACCACTAGGTCTACCATAGTTTACATATTATCCATAATTTTGTCTTTTCAACCATAATTAAATCTGGTGGATTATAAACCAACACTTTATCCATTTGTATTCCAGAATCCCACAATATTTTAACCTGCTCATTCACAACTACATTTTCAGTTCTATATTCCCACCAATTTTTCATTCCTGGCACATGATATTTTTTACAGATATTCCAGTATATCATTTTGGCAACTGTATAATGTTGTTGATTATAATCAATTCATGTGATGTACTTGTAGAGCAGAGCAGGATATATGATCTATAGTTTCCTTTTCCTCCTCTTTGCACAAACTTCACTTTGAATCATTTGATGATTTTTCAATTAAATGTTCCAGTTGTAAGCCATTGCCAGCATTTGTTCTTTCTCCATTTCCCCTCAGTCTTTTGTAGCAATTGACCATGTAATACTTTTCCTTGCCAGCATTCTGTTCATGTTTTTATTACATTATTTCAATATTCATGTTTTGTTTCCTGTATATTCAGCAAGGTCCAATTTTTAATTTGCATCAGTGCTTATGCTTGGCTGTCTTTTACATAATCAGCCAATGCATAGTTTTTAAACCTTTGCCTCCATTACTGCAGGGCAGGTATGATTTTTCAGTATCACTATGGGGTTGTAATGAATAATCATGAGTGAATAGCCAAGAGTTTTCCTGTGTTTTGGTGCAAACCGTTCAGTTCAACTTATGTCCAATTAATAATTCTAGCACTGGATCATACTAGACATATAGCCCAGGTATTGATCACCTATCATTGATCATAGACAGCATATTAAAAAGCAGAGACATCACCCTGCCAACAAAAGTGCGTATAGTCCAGGCCATGGTTTTCCCAGTTGCAATGTATGGCTGTGAAAGTTGGACCATAAGAAAGGCTGAGCGCCAAAGAATTGAGGCCTTTGAACTATGGTGCTGGAGAAGACTCCTGCGAGTCCCTTGGACTGCAAGGCGTTCAAACCGGTCAGTCCTAGAAGAGATCAACCCCGACTGCTCTTTAGAAGGCCAGATCCTGAAGTTGAAACTCAAATACTTTGGCCACCTAATGAGAAGGAAGGACTCACTGGAGAAGGGCCTAATGCTGGGAAAGATTGAGGGCAATAGAAGAAGGGGACGACAGAGAATGAGATGGCTGGATGGAGTCACTGAAGCAGTAGGTGTGAACTTAAATGGATTCCAGAAGATGGTAGAGGACAGGAAGATCTGGAGGAACGTTGTTCATGGGGTCGCGATGGGTCGGACACGACTTCGCAATTAACAACAACAACAACAATTGATCATTTTGATGGTGTTTCCACTATTCAGTTTCGTCTTTAGCAATTTTTTCACTCTTTGAATGTATTCTTTACTAATCATATTTTTAACTTATCCATGCTTGACATTATCCAACTCAGATACTTGTAGGCTTCATCCTAATGGCTCTTGATTGTTTGGCCATTCAGCATTTCAGTTATATTACTATTCTCCATTTTACCCCAATTACTGCTATATTAGTCTAAATTAAGAATTTACAATTAGATTCCTGGTCTGAGACTAATATTACTATCATTATTATTGTTGTTATTGTTATTATTATTTCACTAGCTTATTAAATGATGGGAATAATGTGTATACATACAATACCTTCACACTACAGGTAGTCCTTGATTAACAACAGCAATTGGAACTGGAATTTCTGTCACTAGGTGAAACAGTAATAAAGTGTAACAAAGTGTTGCATGATTGTTTCAGTTAGCGATGGTAGTTTCAGTACTTTCAGTTGCTATCATTAAGCAAATCATGCACTGTCGCTGAGGGCTATGTCACATGGTTATCATTTGCAACCTCCTGCTAGTTTTCCCATTAATTTTGCTAGCATGAAGTCTGCAAAGAAGGTTATGAAGAGAGATCAGGATGCTGCAACAGATAGAAGTTTGAAGATGATTCTAAGTACCACTTGTTTCAGCACTGGTCAAAGTTTGAACCATTCCTTAGTGAATAGTGGTTAAATGAAGACCACATGTGCTCCCTTTCAAGATAAGCAATACTAGACAGTGCCTAGGACCCTCTTGGATCAAAGTAATATAAAAGTCTTACAAATAAGTAAGTAAATATGCTTTTTCAAATGCAACTGTTTTACTGGTAAAGAAGACTCATTGCTACTTCAACTTGGTAAGCTACGTTTGTTTGTTCTTTTAAAGATTTACTGACACCTTTAAAAGTCAAAACCTTCTCTAGGTTCCCTCTAAAACAGAAATACAAATAACAGTCAGTTTAAAGAAAAGTGAAAGAAACAAAACAATAATAATCAAGCCCAAAACTTACACAGATACTATTTTCTACTTTTCTGTGCTGTGTTCTTTTAATGATCCGTTCTCAGTTCTATCCAGTAAATTAGGAGATATTGGAAAGTATATCTGGATGCAATTCTGAATTATAGTGCTCTTAATGGGATATGTATTAATGTACTTTCCAGTATGCATTCTGGCATAACTAACAGTTAGATCATAACTTTTGAATCAGGGCATTGGCTCAGAAATGCTATCACAGAGCCAAATCCGGAAAGCTCATAAGCATCATTTCTCGCTTCCATAATTACTAATTGTGGTCATGAAAGGAAAAGAAGCCATATTCAAATTTTAAAATGTGACTGAAGAGGCAGTAGATCAACATGAACAAGCTCAGCAGTGGGATAGTTTGGTGCATGTTTTGGCATTTCTCAAATATGTTAGAGGGTAAGAATTCAACATTGTTGGATCTGGTGCATAATCACATGAAAATGTAAATTCTCATTTCCTCTGTAAGCCTTTGAGGGAACCTTTTATGATAATTTATTTTGTGGAATGAATATGCAGCTTGCGTAAGCTCTGACTTAGCATTTACATCTTAAATAATGCTGCCTCCATTATATCAGATGCTGCATATTCATTTTATGTTTTCACTAAGCAGTTAAAGTAAATGGTTGTATGTATTAGTGCAGCTAGACCGAGTCAGCTTCTGATGTGTTATTGAAATATTGCTTGCCTGAGCAATTTGCAGTCAGAGGGCAAGAATAATTCTAATGAGGTCAATTAGCATTTGGAGTTCTTTTTAGTAGCTTTAATTAAGCACAACCTTACAGCAAGGACATGTGTGAGTTCCCCTCCCCATTCTCTTTGTTAATAGGATCTCTGGGAGAACTACTGGAGTGAGGGAAGTTTTTTCCACAATTGTTTTGTAAAAGATGCATCTGATTTTCATAGTCTGCGCTTTAAAACAAAGAACATAACAAAAGGCCATCATAGCATTTTCCTATGAGCCCATACATTTAGAAAAGAGGCAGATGATGCTTATTTTGTCCTTTTCTTAAATTCCAGGAGATATTTGGATTCTCTCTCTCTCTCTCTCTCTCTCTCTCTCTCTCTCTCTCTCTCTCTCTCTCTCTCTCTCTCTCTCTCTCTCTGTGTGTGTGTGTGTGTGCGTGTGCGTGCATGTGAGACAGACAGACAGAGACACTGTTTGCATACATGCACATTTATGTATTTCTATATTTCTTTTGTAATGCAATGCTCCATTTTGCTTCTTAATATTCTCATTGAATAGAATAATGGGAAGGAATCTTGATTAACAAATTTATTTAGTGATCAGTTCCAACAAAAGGCCTCAGGAAGAACCATATAATTGGAAGCAAGGAGATCAAATTCAGTCCCATGTTCCAAATCAAAGCACCCCCCCCAACAGATTATCTAACCTCTATATTAATATATGATGAAGGGGAATCTGTGCATGAAGTTGAGGCAAGCCTGGGATGGGAATGGAACAAATAGCAGAAGGCAAGTCAGTGGACAGTTTATCTCATAAGTAGTTATGCTGGTCTTTAATTGTAATAAAGATTTGATTTGATTTGATTTGAAATAGCAACACAATTCAGGTGGGGAAAAATCTGAGAAAAAAATCTCAATATCTTAAAAAAGACTCCACCTTAATTAAGTCAATAAGAAGGGTAAACTCCTATTAGTTTCCAAGTATTAAAGAAATCTGTGTAGTTTTTGCTTCCTTAGTCCTGCCCCGCTACATGAGGCTTGGGAACCTCTCATCTATTGAATAATTCATTCCACTATTAAACTGCAATTTGTTTCAATAACAGACCTATGGATAGGTTGTACACAATTATGGAGACTGGCCCAAAGGGACTTTGTGAACTTCTTTGGCTGAAGATCCTAGTCCAAGCCCTAAATACATAATCTACGTTTTTTTCTAATCTACTCATTTTTATTGATGGAATTCATATTATTGTTTGCAATTAAATCTTTCTGAAATGTTTGATGTCAGCTGTAATAATTTGGATTGTTTTGTTTTCTTTGTGCAAAAAACCAATGAATATTCTTAACAGTTTATCCAATATAACTGATTTTCAGATACCTGGAAGGAAATCATTTATCCGCTGTGCCAAAGGAACTTTCTATGTTCCGACACTTAACATTAATGTAAGTATACCAACATTTCATGACAGCAATAATATAGCAATACACAAATGTTGCAGCATTGGGTGTTGCAGTGCAGCAATAGCTGTGATTGGCAGATACCTTCATACATTGTTTGAGGAAACACAAAAACATTGTTTATATTGTGAAATTTATTTTTTCTGGAAATACAATGTACACGCAAACACACACACAAAGACACACACACAAACTTTTAAAAGAGATCATCGGTAAATTACTATTTTGAGACTTTTGAATACAATTCAATTTTTTGGGACCAATCCTCTATTTATCACACCTAAAAAGAAAGCAAGCATGACACCACAATTTTAGTAGAAACAATCATTGGTAGATCTTGCTTACTTCTACTGTTCAATATTGTGTTTTATACAAATGTATATTATTTTGTTTAGTCATATGTGCATTGGGTATATCTTAAATTCCAATTTAGGATAAAATTTTACAAAAATAAGAAAATTCTTTAAATTATTTCATGAATGTCATTAAGCATAGGAGTTTAGTACTAATGTATTTATTTTATTAATTTAAAATGTTTTATATGACAGTATTTTATTATTTTATAGCTGGTAGGTTACCCTACCAAGCTCAAGTCAGTGTGCCAGCTTTAATAGAGAGCATTTCCTTCGTATAATTCTTTTTGTGTCTTTATATAATCAAAATCAAGAGGGAATTTATTACAAATCTAATTAATAGAAGTCTACTTTAAATACAACAAGGCACAGTGATTATCTACTTACAAGCATAAGTAGCATCTCTATTGTTTAGTGCCTTCCCTGGAAAAGTTTGTGAAGTATCCACTCCTCACAGTTCTTACTTCTTGTCCACTATTGTTTCTGGTTTTATGCCTTGTTAGTTCTAGATTATCAAATGTATTGATGTTTATTATATTTTAAACTCCCCTCTTAATTTTTTAAAATAAATCTTTCTGATTTTATTTGTGTTTTTATGAATTGTTCTGAAAGCTGCTTGCCTTAGGGTAATTGGTAAATCTTAAGTAATATTTTTTTTTAAATGTAATTATAATCCCCAATAACAATATTTGTTGATAGTTTGCTTTGAAGGAACTTGTTTATGCTTTTTGTGCTGAATTTAAGAAAAGTTCTGTTTTCATTGCATCAATGAATATTATGTGTATTTTTTTTTCAGCGACTTGAGCAACAATAGTATCAGCATGTTGGCCAATTACACCTTCAGTAATATGACACAGCTATCAACCCTGTAAGTAACCAGTGATTCTGACATAGGCTCTAATTATTATTTATTGTAAAGTAAGTTGCATTAAATAGTAAGTATTTAATTTGTTCTGTGTTAATGTTTTCTACTCTGTTCCTGCTCCAGTTACTTGTTGCAAAGTAATATAAACTGCGGTCTTTTATTCCCCTAGGATCCTAAGCTACAATAGGTTACGATGTATTCCAGTTCATGCATTTAATGGCCTTAAATCTCTCCGAGTATTGTAAGTATTAAAGTTAAATTTTGGAGTTAAATTTTAAAAGGTGACAGCAAAATGTCTAAGGAGTAGGAGCTTTCCCCTGATTCTCTGCATTGCAGCCATTTACAGTCATTTGCACTTTTTTATTTGTATCAAGATGTAAAGTACCCTATAAATATGAGTTCAGATGAAGGGTAACATTTTGTGAATGATTTGATGCCTTAAGATGATTTTTCCTGTTGGAATTCTTTTTTTTTTTTTTAAAGGCCACTGTTAAAATATAGGCTAACCTATTTGACTTAAGACATATTTTTGAAGGAACACTTCTCCATTGTAACTTGCTCATTAATCACATCGACATATTCTTGGATTTGGTGTATAATTCCATAATTTGAGCTAAAATTCTAATTGCGCTTCTGTGTGTTTTTAATCATATCCAAGGTTTCAGGAGAAGTTTGATCTCTTTCATTTCTTTTTATACTTTTCTCGTTTTTCAGTTTTTTTCATAAAATTTTTTTTTGTCAAATAGTAGACATTTTGTCAAATGTTTCCTTTGGAGAATATTGAATGTAATGATATTTAATAATTCTTTCCAGTGATTCGGTCATACTTACTTTTTATGCAAAATCTTAAGTATTACTTAGGATGAAGTCCATGTTTGTTTCATCATCATATCTCCTTGTTTAGTGTCAATCCTACCAGACAGATAAGACAGAAACACTAAACTAATTCTATTTTCATGTAAGGCTACATTAACAGAAACGTGCAAGTCTGAAACTATAATTCTCCCCGTCTCCTTTCCATCTCGAGAAATTGGGGAGGATATCTTCTGAACCTCTTCTCCCATTAACAATCTAGTTGCAGACTATTTTCTTTTATCAGAGTTTTCCCTAACCAGGGTCTCTGGACCCAGTCTCCTAAGATCATTCTCATATACCATTACAATTAACACTTTAAGCTGTGACATATGGTTTTTAGTGGCCTGTTATGACTGCAGTTGTGCAGGTATAAGATAGCAAATGGAGAGAGAAAAGGGAGAAGTACCATTCTAGTGAAGTGCAGCTGCGGTGTCACAATGGTTGATGAGCTGACATAGCTATTAGCCAAGGCTGTTATCGGGAAAGGTAGACAGCATTTTCATTGGTCCAAATTTGTACAAAGTATTAGGGACTAGAGCTCTGATGAGACACCCACCTCCTCAGTTGCTGGAGAAATACTGCTAATCTGATTAAAAATGAGATACAAACAGACAGACAGAGGAGAGAAAACAAGCAGAGAAAACTGGGAGAGAAAAAGACTGTAAAACAGAGATTGGAGATTAAAATTGGAGAGTATTGTATTATGAATGTGTTTAAGTTCCTGGTCAGAGAGGGAGAAGTCTCTGGGTAGCTTTCCTAGAGGAAGAGAAGTAAAACTCCAGAGAGATAAAGGTCCAAGATGGGAAGGAAGGAGAAATTATCTTTGGCAAAGCCAAGGTGTTTGGGGAAGGATTTGGCAGAAGACACCAAAATAGGTCCTTCCCCCAAAAGAGGAGAAGCAGACTGTAATCAGCTGAGCAAATTCAGGGAAAGGTGATGAGAAGTGCTGAGCACACTAAATTGTAAATCCAACACTAGTCTTTTTTTTTTTTTTTACTCTCTTGGGATAAGCACAAAAAAGGGGCAAGAAGTTGGAATGAAGGGAGAGGAGCAGGACAACTTGTCAAATTAATGGAACTATGAATTCTGAATTGTACCAGCAATTTCTACAGGAGTATGTTAGGTACATGTCTGTGAATTGTAGTGCCAGAAGAAGTGGGTGATGCAGCAAGACAAGAACCCACAATACAGAAATCATACAACCAAAGAATGATTAAAGCAGAAAAAGTTAATGTTTTGGAATGATCAAATCAAAGTCCTGACCTGTTGTGGAAGGACCTGAAGCTGGCAGTTCATATGAGAAAATCCACCAATATCCCTCAGTTGAAGCTGTTCTGTAAAGAGGAGTGAATTCAAATTCCTCCAAGCTGATGTGTAAGATTGATCTGCAGTTATTAGAAATGTTGACTGGTAGTTATTCCTCTCCACCAATTGTAGTAATTGCTGTCCAACTAAATTGCAACCTTTATTTGCAGTTATTGCTTCATACCAGTTACTGAGAGCAGTAGGCTTACATATTTTTACTACATGTAAATATGAGGATCATTTTCCTTGAAATGAACAAACATATTTTTGACTTATTTTTAATTGGGTTTTCTTTATCTATTTTTAGGACTTAGGAACAGATCATGTTTTAGCTCATACTTATGCAGAAATGCTGAAAATTCGCAAACTTTTAAACACTGTTGTATGCTTGTTTAGAACTATATATACTGTATGGATAATATAAAAAAGAGTAGTTAAGTGGCAGCCAATTTGTTTGTAGCTGAACAGTTTATAGTCTTCCAGTTTGAAATAGTACACAGATGTTAATTTCACAATAAATTTTACCCCATTATATAAGAACTTCAAGGAAATATTGGTTTTCTTGTTTTGTAACTGATCCATATGTATTTTTTTGTTTAAGTTGCAAGCAAACCAAGATTACTTCATTCTCAAAGGCAACAGTGTAATGCTGAAGATCAGTTTTATAAATCAGTTTGCTATCCCTATTTATTTAGAAGATCTACTTAATCATATATTAAAATAGGTGTTTGCTCAGAGAAAGATAACATGCTCAGAGAAATATAACTTTTATATTTCTGTGCAAAAGCTAAATGAAGCATGAATGAGAGTCTCTCTTTCTGGGTTGTATATATTTGGAAGCTTCCACTTTCATTTGATTTATTATGGTATACAAAATTCTAGTGTCAGCGACAACCCTTGCCACATGTCATCTACGTTGTTATTAAAAATCAATTCTCCTGGGTGAGGAAGTGTTTCCAAGCGACAGCATGCAATCTGTTACTGTCATTTATTTATTATCAGAATTCCCAAGAGAACCTCAGTTAGAAATAATCAGCAAAAGCGTATCCACGTTTTTGCACCTTTTTGTTTGAAAGGACACATAGCTTGAAACTGTCTGAATTTGATGTGCAGTTAACAGACCTCTTTTATGCATGAACTTCTTCTCTAATTGTTTTTCTTCCTGGGAAATTTTCCCTATTGCTATTAAATAGGAAAATTATCCTATCAATCAGAATATGTCTCTGGCTACCAAACATAATAATCGGTGTCATGACATATGCCTTATTTCAGTAATTCGAAGTCTTAATCTCTCTTAGTATATCTTTATGCACCATGTTTTAAGGTGATTGTTCCAATCATAGATTAGGGTTTGTTTGTTTTTCAACATGCACCAAAATATATGAAAGTAACAAAGAACTACCAGAAAACACATGTAAAATATATATAATTGTAAAAATGATGAAATGGCTTCTATGTCCCTATTAAACACAAACTCTGTGATTCAGGGTGTGAAAGTGTCTTGCAAATTAATTTTTTATTCCCTTTCCAGTAGTTCAAGTTCAGTTCCCAAAGTTCAGTTTTTCAAGGATTTCACTATTTATTTTAGAATTTCATAAAAATTACAAAGCATACTTGTAGTTCAACAATTAGGAAACAAATACAATATTAATAAGAAAGGTACTAGTGTATTCCATTGTTTATAATCTAAACCTTCAGGAGCCATTTTTGTCAAATTCAGTCGTTATACAGACACAATACATACAAATTTTAAAAATTATTCTCCTCTAGAGAGACAAAATCACATAAGCACATAGGAAAGGATATGGTCAAAAAGCAATGAGCTTTGTAATTTTTATTGTATTTTTTCTTAGTAGCATTTTCAGGTCCTAAAGCCAGAATTTGCACTAGCTATTGGTTAGGGCAAGTTCAATTCAGCATTATGATAATTGGCTGAATAGAAATTCTGGAAAACATAGTTTTAATATATATGGTAAACTCTGATCCATGTAGCACTGTATTTATTAAAAAGAATAGTAGATATTGGCAAAATGGTATCACTAACAATTTTCTCTATTACATTTATTTCAGAAGAAAATAAAAGAAAAAATGAATATTTCCTATTTGTCTAGATCAAGAATTGAATAACTTTCCAGAATGTTGTCACGATCATGATTCCTAAGACAACTGTTGTCCTGTTGTCTAATTATTCTAAATTGCTTATTCAGGTTTCAATTGTGGTCATTTTTTTTCTTTGAAAAAGTCACTGGTACTCTTTATTAAGGGAGCCAGTTTGGTCTATTGATTAAGGTCCTAGGATAGAATCTGTGTGTCTGTATGTTCCAGTCCCACTTCAGGTATGAAACTAGGACAAGGCAATGGCAAACTATTTCCATTAACATTGACTCAAAGGCACACATACAAAAAATTCAAAAACTACAAATAAATAAACAAACTATCCCTTTTTATTAAAAAAAGATACTAAAGAGTCTGTAATACTACCATTTCCTTTATTTCCAATCTTTATGCAATGCTAGGAGCACAGTGGCTTGTGTGGTTAGGATGCTGTGTTGGAGGTTGGCAAGCCTGTGTTCAAGACCCAAGTGTTCCCATGGGATGTGGTGAGCGCTTGTCTTTCACTCCAGCTCCTTCCAGGGCCATGAAAAGAGCCCCCAACTGGGCATTCCCTGGACAACAGTGATGTCCTTTCAACCCAGAGGCACCTTGGTTGCATCGCATCTGGTTGCATCACATCGCACTCGTGTCTGAAGCACCTTGGTAGCATTGCGATGCATTGCGATGCGATGCAATGCTTCCTTGTAAAATCTTTCTTGGACAAAATATGAACTATAATGCTTCCTAAGTTATTTAGTCAATAGGTATTAAAAGCTAACTTAAACTCTTTTTGTATCATAACTATATTCAAACATAATATTACTTTTTCTTCTCCTAGAACGCTTCATGGCAATGATATATCCAGTGTCCCTGAAGGGTCTTTTAATGATCTTGTGTCACTTTCCCACCTGTAAGTATTGTTATCCTCAAGAGATTATTAACTCTGTACAAATTATTTGCTATGGGAGATTTGTATAGCTACTTTATGCCACAATTATCCTTATATGTATTTTATTTAGATTTCTATTTTCCAAACAAATGTGAAAAAAACCTTACCTTTTAAAACTTTAATTGTCAAAGAGAAAATAGATCATTTGTTAAGCCTACTTATATCAAAGTTAGACTCCAAAGCAAATTTTCAGCAAAATGTGAAAAACCTATGTTAACCTATAGGGTGAAAAATGTATGGATGAATTATCAAGCAGGCTCATGGCTATTGGTTCTTAACTTGCTTACTAGTAGCACTATTGGTCCTTAACTTTCCAGAATATTTTTTCATCTAATTAAATAGGATTGATCTCCACTTCTTCACTCCAAGGAGAATAGAATTGACATTGCTAGAAAAAAAAGAAAAAGAAAAAAAAAAGACAAGTTAAAAGCCACGTAGGGACATACATTTGCTGGAAAGATACCATCACGATTATGCTTTATGAACCATGTTATATTATAGTTTCTTCACACCCCATTTAGATTCCTATATTTCCCATTTGCTGTATCAGGGTATTTTGGGAAGAATGGCATTCTGAAGCAGTTTTCCAAATAACATAAGCCCAACAAGGAATTAATGTTACTCTATTTTATATATTCACTTTTAACCCCATAGTGATCAGGGAACAGGATTAAAAGATATGCTTAAATTTATAAGCATTTCAACCTTTTTAAAACTTGTGTTCATTGCTCAAATAGCATCTATCTTTTAAATGAAGATATGTTATTTGTGCAGTACAATACTTACTAATGAACAACCTGATAATGATTTATCAAAGGTCATGTTTAACAGCATTATTAAAGACAAAACATTTCACTGTCATATTAAATTCTACTAAAAATAAACATAATTTGCCACATTCACTCAAATAAAGGCAAATTTAAATTTGAAATATGTTTGTGTTTACACATGTATCCCTCTTTACTAGTTGAATTGATAGCTACTGGTTAAAATATTAGCTTGTAAAAAAACCTATTTATAAAATTAATTGACCCCAATCTGCACATCTGCCATTCTTTCTTAACACAAAAATGGTTGTGTATGGGACACAAAAATATCACACATATCTACTGTTAACTCTGCTTTTAATTGAAACTGCAAAAAATAAAAATACACGATGGAGACACAATAAGAGGAAACATTGGGAAGGAGGAACAAAACAAAATAGCACTGGATAAAAATGAGTTGAGAGACACAGGTAACAAGACAGGAAATGAATGGAAAGAGACCAGGCCAGTAGCTACTGGTATTATTCAGTAACAGTTCAGCCTACTTTCCAAAGATACCTAGCCTTTGTAGCTGCAATTTTCCCCTCTTCCTCTTTGGTTTTTAACAGTTTAGTTTATTCTTATCAGCAAAAGTAACATCCAATCCTATTGTAAATAGGATTCTGAAGGAAATCCTGGTAAATAATCACACTGTTCCATTTGGGGGATTACCATATATGCCGCGTATAAGGTGACTTCCGCAAGTGTTAAAATCGGCGCTGAAGTCGGGGGTCATCTTATATGCCGAGTCGTCTTATACGCCGAAAATACTGGTAGTTTCCGGCGTATAAGACGACGTTCTAGGCATGCGACTCGGTGCCAAAGACGGGGGTCGTCTTATACGCCAGGTCGCCTTAAACGCCGGCATATACGGTATGTAATTATTTTCATTATAATCATTACATTACCAGTTACCAGCTATAAATGTTCTTTAAGAAGCTGTTCTGCAAAGAAAGAATTGTCCAATAGAGAAGCCAGGAATAAAGAGAAATAGTGTTACAAGGTTTTGTTTTGTTTTAATTTTTCACAAGGTTTCCGTAACCTCAGCGACTCATAAGCCATTTGACAGTCATTCGTCTTTCATTTGTTCTGCAACATTGCATACAGTAAATGTAAAAGTATATTTTCTTCTGAAATAATAAATTCTGGACCCATTAATTATCTTGTCTGTCAACACCAATCAATATATTGTTTACAGAATAGATTGACAAATAAGGGTTGAAATTATGAATTTAGAATTGTTTAATTGACATACTAAGTACATATTATATCTCCTTATAAATGACTATTGTTACCTAATTACAACCTACTTATCTTTGGAAATAGTATGTAGTATTTAATATGTCACATTTAGACTACATAAAAAGGAATCTTACAAGATGGAAACAAATAGGCAAAGTGCCCTTAGTTCAAATGTATTTATTTATGTTTGAAAAACACTACAATCCTTAAAATTGTGAGGTAAATCATGACTGATTGTCCATAAACCCAAATTCATCCTACCTTACCTTTCCTAATCTGTGTCCTTTAAATTGTTAATTTTAAAATATCCTTCACATTTTATTTCCATATATAGTTATAACACTGAGCCCTGGCCGTACAATTAATATATTGTATTCAAACAAAAGTAACTGTCTTCAAAATATAGCTGTCAATTTTCTTAATAAGGAGAAAGCTCCAACTCTACAGTGGAATTTTACAAACTTAGATCAACATGAATTATCGTGTTCAATGTCTTCACACAGTCTGCCATTACAATTAGTACAATAAAAAGATGTACATATCAATGTTGAAGTAAATGTAGACACACTTATTTGCAATTTAGGATTCAAAATCATTGTGCTCTCTGATGAAAGCTTTTGAATGTAGACAATGTTTGTAAACTTGTAATTATTATCAACCTCTAAATAGTATGTAGTGGCCAGCGAGAACAATATTTACATATTTTAAATGATATGTTAGATCTATTTTAAAAGCTTCAACAAGTGCAAGATGTATGCATTAACTAAAGAGAATGATTGTGTTCAAGCAAAAATGGCTTGTCCTTCATTATTTTCTGTGTTATGGCTCATTTCCATTTCCTCTTCTCATTACTTTCTTACCTTAAAAATTTTACTTCAAATCTTTTACTTTAAAATCCATGGAAAAAGTCTATTTTCTTCTTTCCAATAACATCTCTGGGAAAAATCTGAGAAAATAAACATAATTTATTATAACATTTAAATCTACAAGTTTAAAACAAATGAAAGAGCAATCACACTGTAGATCAGTGGTGGCGAACCTATGGCACGGGTGCCAGAGGCGGCATTCAGAGCCCTCTTTGGGGACACAAGTGCTGTTGCCCCAGCCTTGCCTCCCCCCACGACCCCCACATCTCCAACAGCCCCCCTGAAGGAGAGCCGCCCTCAAGCATGGTCCACGCAGAGCAGCGCAGCCAAGGACATGGCAGCCAGGCAGCATAGACAAGACTCTGCCCACACACCCCATCATGCAGTTGATGCTGCAGGGCGCGGGCAGAGGGTGTGGCCGCCATAGTGCTGCGGGCCCTGGAGGCGGTGAGTGGTCCTGTGGGCAGGCGGGGCAGAAGATGGGGGGCAGAGCAGGGGCAGGGCAGGGAGGTGGAGCGGGGGCGGAGCCAGTTTTTGGGCACTAGGTCTCTAAAAGGTTCGCCATCACTTCTGTAAATCAAAATAAAGCTGCTAGCAGTGGGAGGAAGAACATGAAATTAAAATGTTGGAACTGATGTCCGTCTTTTTATTTGGTGCTTTGCCCTATTTTAGGGGAATGTTGGAAGACTAAATTATTAGTGCAACAAATTGCTTGACCCATTAGATTTTTTATTGGTCCAAAACAGCTGTTGAAACATATATGTACAGTAAACTAGAGATAACTTAAAAGTAGAGGTTTGTATGTTGTATGTACATGCATGAGCTCATATATAGTCAATCCAAATAATTTTAGTCTGTGTGAAAATACAGACAAGACATAAACTTGGTCCCTTTAAGGAAACTTTGTTCTTATTTAATTTTAATGTATGAACTCTTTCCAGTAATTCAACACATGAACTCTCAGCATGAGTTTGTCTAGGCCAGACTTGTTTAATCAGTCATGTCTGTGGTTTTATATCAACAATTTTAGTTTATAATTTTATCCATCAGTATTACATCTTCTTTTTTTCCTCAGTAAATCATTTTTATCGACTCCATTTCTAAAACATCTGTGAAGAAAAAGTCAACATCCAGAATTATCTTTTGATCATTCTTTCTGTAAATAATTTTCTAACTTTCTCTCTAGGGGCTGAATCCAACTAATATTTTCTTCTCCACAGGAACAATTTCTAAGCTTTAAGTAAAAACTTAATGTCAAAAGCAGTTTATGACCATTGAGATAATTGTCCTTAACCTTTAGATCATTATCCTAAAGAATTATTCTTGAACTTCAAGGGTATCTGAACTCTTAAATCTTATATTAAAATAGCACTTTTACTGAAAGATGGACTTAGAAAATATGTTCAAAAGCCATTGAAAAGGACATTTATTAAATATTTCAACTTCTCTAAAAAGTTTCAACCATTACCTGTTGTTAGAATTTTTTCTAAAAAGTCAAAGGGGAACATAAGGATCATCATATTGAATATGCCAATCAATCCAATATAATACCTAGTATTTATTTATTTCATTATATTCCACCTTTCCTTTAAAATTCTTAAGAAGGGATCATCCCTCATTTCATATTCACAACAACAAATTAATGAGTTAGTTGGGTTATTTAATATATGCTCTAAGAACAAAATGCAAGAATAAAGAGGCAAGCAGAAAGTCTTAGAAAGTTATTCAAACATAATGTAATGATAAGGATGGCATCTCCTCTACAGAGTGGATGCAACATGCTTTCTAAGTCAAAGCGATGGGTGACCAGCTAGATTGTTGAAACTATGGAGTAGAGAATAAATAAACAGAAATTGAGAAAAGATTAATGTGTATTCCGATGTGTAGTGATTTTCCTCATTGTCCTTCCTTGCATGTTTGTAATCAGTGATCAGACTACCACACACAAATTTGTCTTTTCACCAAAGGGAGAAGAATCATTTACTTTTTATGTAAGGAATAATGACTTCCAACCAGAAATTAAATGAGATACTGATCCAGAGTTGCTTGGAGTTTTTGAGAGGAAAAGCTTGATGAGTTCTTAAAGTTACAGAGATAGACAGGGGTTCTACATTACTTGCATTCAAATGATGTATAACATCTTTTATCAGGAGCTATACATTAGATCTTGTTCCAAGCTGCCTTGTGTGTGAAATTAGATTGAGGATTGCCAGAAAATCTTCTCTCCTTGTATCTGATCTCCTTCTCATTCTATGGTTATGTACTTCCAACTTAATTACCTTTTTAGTTTTAGGAGATGACTGATCCTCTATATCGTACCCATGCATTAAGGCAGGGGTGTCAAACTGCTGGCCGGTTGCATCATGCGGAGGCCACACCCACCCCAGCTCCAGCAATGCAAAAAAGTCACGATACGTCGCAACACGTCACGTGACACAGCGAGTTTGACACCCATGCATTAAGGTGAGACTATGCATTGAAAGTCTTGCATTAACTATAGGTACAAAAAGAATAGAACTGTAAGTATTGGCAGTGCTGACAGATATCAGAGACCAACAACTATATTAAGAATTTGGATTTGTAAATCAAGGAATTTTCTTCTAATTGTACCAGCATAAAGAAAGAAGTCATATCTTTTTCCCCTCTCTTTTTTTAAAACCCAATTTAGGGCACTCGGTACAAATCCTTTACATTGTGACTGCAGCCTGCGCTGGCTTTCAGAGTGGGTAAAAGCAGGTTACAAAGAGCCCGGCATTGCACGGTGTAGTAGTCCAGATGACATGACAGACAGGCTTTTGCTAACTACACCAACTCAGCATTTCCAATGCAAAGGTGGGTATAATTCTTGGACTTCTGCACGTAGATAGGAGATCACCAGGAAATTCCAGTATAGACCTGTAGACTGTAGTAGAAAAATATATTTTTTTAAAAAAAATCTTGCAAAAAGGCAATTGCAACCCACTTTTCTACTACTTCTAGTTAAAAAAAACATGGACACATTGGACACAGTTTAAGAATGGCTTTACTTCTGAGTATAAAGAATTGAAATTTGAGGAAGATAAAGAATTAAAACTTGGTGATGAATGCATGGCATGATTCAGTCCTAATTTGGTCTCAAAATCTCTAAGCTAAAGAGAAACTGTATACTTCTCTTCTACCTAAGAACTCTGCTTCCAGAAACATTACTGCAATATACACATGCTGCCTTCTTTTAATTTTGCATTTCCATTACCCTTAAATCCTGTATTTCCCTGTACGTTAAGGGATTCTCTTTCCTTTCCAGTATTTGTGCTGTTCCATTTTCTGCCCCACTGATCATTATAGAGCCACTCATATGCCTGTCAAAGAGAATTATATTAAGGATTCAGGTGATCTGTAAGAAAAGATTTGGGTGTAAGGGGGAATGACAAACATATATCTTCAACTCAATTTTTTATTGAAATTTACATCAAACTTACATCAGAATTGTTGTTTTGAAAATTGTGGATTAAAAAAAATACATATCCAAAGTGAACAAAGTTTACCATGCAAGTTCAACGATAGTCATGTTTGAAATATATGGGATTTATTTTCTCTGGTTGACTAATTTTTAGTTTATTTATCTATTACATATTCATTCATTTATTCATTACAGGAGCAAAAGGTGATATATATATAGTTCCCATTTCCCCACTGGGAGATAAAATAACTTTATCTCATGACAGAGCTTCATTTTGACAGAATGCTCCAAAAGATAATACAGAGATGGCCTTGAAGGAACTGTGGCAATTCTTTGTAAAACATGAGCTTAACCCTTAGCATTTTCTTAAAACAGGAAAGTGTGGGGTTTCTAGTGTTTTGTGACCCAGGCTACCTCAAAGGGCTGACAGTTGCTTGTTTGTTTGTTTTCATTCATTTTGCTTTATAAATGAATGAAGGAAGAAATGAATCCTTCTTAAGATAGTATTTTTTGCAAGTTAGCTTTGTTCCAGCATAGTGTTTGTGCCTGAAGTGCACTAACTAGGGTCACTGATACATAATACAATAGCAGCATTTAAACTTTCAAAAGAAAATTTCCTAGTTCTTTATTTATTTATTTATATACACATGTTTATGCAGCACCACAGACCAAAGACTCTGAGTGATAAGTATATTCTTGTCTATAAGGCAATCTCTTGAAAATGTTTTAAATTGTTGTCAAATCTTTTCACATGTATTCTTGTTTTATTGCAGGAGTTGTTGACATTGGTATTGTGTCCAAATGTAACCCTTGCCTATCTACTCCCTGTAAAAATAATGGGACTTGCAACAATGACCCCATGGATTTTTACCGATGCACTTGCCCATTTGGCTATAAGGTAGGGTAACTGATAACAGCTGGCTTTCAGCATTGAATGGAATCAAAACCAACACGGACAGGGAAGGAGATTGCACTAAAGGGAAATGAGTATAGTTTGAGCTGCATAGTGAACAGTGATACTATACATGGTCCTGCATCTCAAACACTTTTTTTTCCTGAAGTGGTGTAGAGATTTTAGAAAGCAGAACAAGTAGTTCCTATGCCTGCGTATGTTGTATTTGTATAATGTGTGCCTAAAGACAGAATAAGATTGAGAAGTGGAATGCTTACAGATCATGAGGGGTGAAAAGGTAGAAGAGGAAAAAAACAATATCAAAACCCAGGAGCACAAATATAAGGAACATTCTATGTAGCCAAGTAGGCTTGCCTCAATCTCTGAAAAAATATTTCTACAACTGTGCTACACATTGAACAAGAATGACATTTGACAAGTTCAGATGTGAACATTATGAAAAGAGCATTTTTTTTAATACAAAACTCTTCCCCACTAAAATGACATGCTAATTTGGTAACAATGCCTTTCTTCCTTTTCACCAGTCAGCTTCAGACATGGCTGTTCATCTGGAAACTATTACCTTGATAAATTATCCCAAACCTGCCCATTCAGCATTGTTATTCCTTGTTTGATGTAGATGTGGAGTAAACTTTCCTGTGGAAGAGTTCACAGTTATATCAATAGGCTGTGGGAACCTTAATCCAAGTATGATTGAGCAAGACTGGGTTTGATTGAATACTCAATGGCAAGGCAATTCTATCTTTTCCTGAAACATATAATTTGATCATCACAGCAGGTCTTCAGTCACATGCATTACTGCAAAGGAAATGATATGATTAAAACAAGAGAGATGACATAATTCAATAGGATATGCTGGATAAAGTAATAAAACCTTAAATAGGAATTCCAGTTGTAGAAAACAATTGATGCCAGCTCTACATAGCAAATATACTTGTACATGGGTACACTTGCCCCACAGTAGCAATGATAAAAAAAAATTACCCATCCATTTACATTAAACCAACATGAACATACATAATAATAATAATAATAATAATAATAATAATAATAATAATAATGATAAAGTTGGAAGGGACCTTGGAGGTTATCAGCAAGGTTGATGTTCTTGTCCACACATACATCTATGTTACATGCACTGATAGCCCTATAATTTTTAGATTGCCGGGGACAGGAATGTTCTGTATCAGTTAGCTCACTGTCCCCGCTGTTTAGTTTAAATATTCCTCCAGAAAATCTGTGAATTTATAGCCAAGTAACTCAGTCCCTTTCTTTGATGGATGCAAACCATCTCTTTTGTAAATTTTTTCAAAGGACCAGCTGCTGACATTGTGACTAATATATCCAAAGTCTTCCCCTTTACTCCACTCCTTTAGCCACATATTGAATTGTGCTATACGCTGGCCTTTTCCATTTTGGTCCTTATACACTTGTAAGACCTCTGAAAAAATAAGCCTACAGCCTATTCTGCTAAGTTCCTGCCCCATGCTCTGGAAATCATTCTGCACAGTGAGTACATCTTTTTGGGACAGATCGTTAGTGCTAAGATGTACAATAGCCTCCACATCATTATTGTTTTAAGGGGAGCAAGGAAAAATGTGTTTTAGACAATTCTCTTTGATTTTGATCTGGAAGCATTAGGAAATTGAGTGTAGAGACTTTGTGAAATGAAGAACACGCTCTTCCTCTGTTAAAATAAGTTGTGCCCTTGCTTATGTGTAAGTATTTAATTTATTAGAAGTGTCATAAACACGAAAATAAAAATGTATTCAAAAGTATACAATCCAAAGAAATTATAAAAGAGTATATCCAAAGAGATATATGTAAATTCTTCTAAATTCTAGAGAAAATCACTTTTTTCTTTTGTTTTTCCCCAGTGTCACCTCTCCAATAATTAACTGTTTTTCCAGAGATTTTTTTTTTTAACTGTGTAAGAAAGGAATGCTTTGAGATCTAGGATTGAGGTATAACTTTTCTCAGTAAAGCTAACTTCGGAACATGAAGACAAAACTTTTCCTTTTCCTGACTCTCCTTATTAGACTAAAATATTGGTTTGACGTGGGATTTTTAAATTTGGTTGGAGGGAAAAAAACTTAAGGAAATAATACCAGAGCTGTGCATGATTCAAAAATATTTGGAAGAAGTGCTTAAGAAGTCTCTTTTTAAAATTAATGTAAGTATTAAAGCTACCTTTCCCCCTGAACACCATTTCCCCCTTCACTGAGAAGCCTGAAAAGTAGCTATTTTTGTGAATAGCAGAGTACTGTATTTGCATGAGTTCCAAATTACTTTTTCCAAATAATTTTCAAGTGCGTACAGAGCTACTAAAATATCTCCCCCATGTCCTCTCTTTATATATTTTTTTACTTTCCATCTCTCCTTTCAATCCCTTTCCTTATCTGTATATCCTCTTTTCAACTATAAATCATTCATTTTACTTTTTCCATGTATTTCAGAGAATATTGTTGTGTCTGCTCTCAGCAATGGTTGCTGACTAGATAATTTGGGTCAGTCACTCTTTCTTAATCAAACCTTACTAAGCAAATTATTGTTGTGGCGAAAATGGGAAGAGAGAAGTTATGCATGTTGCCTTGAGTTCTTGAACAAAAGGCAGGACATCAATGAGAAAGATGATAGATAGATAGATAGATAGATAGATAGATAGATAGATAGATAGATAGATAGATAGAGAGAGAGAGATAGAGAGAGAGATAGATAGATAAACAGCCTTCTTTAACCAGAATGCTCTTTAGATATGTGGGCTTTTACTTCCAGAGTTCTTAGCAACGACAATGCTTATTGGAGAATTCATAAAGAATAGACTTTGTTTTATGCACTTTTATTGATTATACAATAAGTATATAATTTAACACGGCTCTATGGTAAAGGAAGTAGAGAAAATATAGTAGGAGATGTAAATATTCTTGCATATTTAGCTACAATTTTATATTGTATATACCATGGTATGCACAATCATCCTGGAGTAAAGCCAATTTAGCTAATAGGGACCCTAACTTGGATAAAGTTGTATTGTAATATACATTAAATTGATCAAGGAAAAAACTTCTGGAAACAAAGTTTTTGTCTGAATTGTAAAAACATGAACAACCAAAGCTCTTTGTCTGAATGGATTTGGATATTATAAAAGACAACAGGTTCATATTATTTAATATATTTATAGCAGTTTCATACCAAACTTAACCTAATTTCTGAATATGAGCATTGATTAGCAGAATGTCTTCCTGTGTTACATGCAAAAAATCAGTCTGTAGACAATATTTTCTACAAGCATAGCAGCTCATCATAAAATCTCTGTTAGAAAGAAATAATACTGTGCTTGGGAAAGAATGCTGATGATTTAACTTTACAATGGAAGTAAAAAATCAGTGCTGCAGGGTTTTATACAAACATACTTTCGAGAGGCGATTTTTTTACAAGAAGTTGCTTTGCTGAGGGGTTGATCAACTCAACAGCCTAAGACCCAATAAGTGGCTGTATGTCTCTTTTCATATAAATGTTTATTGTTTATATTGAATACTTTACGACATAATGTGAACTACATATTCAAAACCTGGATGATAAAATGTCTTTCACCGTGCAGTTCCAAGTACTCATGTATTTTATTATCTTCTTGCTGTCTTGTGCTGCTTTAATAGAAAAAAAAATACTTTCCCTGAATAAGAATAGGTGATCTGATTCTGAAGGATACATTCTTTGTGCCTGTGAAGACCAGGTTAGGAAACATAGTGATCTTCCCTGTCAGTGATAGACAATGACTAATGCTTCCTGTTTAACTTTTACTGATAGGGTCGAGATTGCAGCACACCTATTAATGCTTGCATTCAGAATCCATGCCAGAATGGGGGAACCTGCCATCCTACTGACACAAATCAAGATGGATTCAGGTAACAAAAAACAAAACTTGACTAAAACCAAAGCAATGGATAAAGCAACTTGTTTGCATTACTTTGATGCATAAAAGTCTATCGTACAAAATTATCCCAGAGAAATTAAACTAAAGCATGATCTACATTGGCGAAGTAAATCATTGGCCCAATCGTTTTCCATGAGAAAGCTATACTTACATCATTCCTGTTTAAAACTGGATGACTTAAAAGTATTTAACTTTGTCTTTACCAAGACTTTCATCTGAAACACAGAATTATATTTGGGTCAGGGCTGAGTGTGTGTGTGTGTGTGTGTGTGTGTGTGTGTGTGCAGTCATCTCATTTTGATTCTAAAGATGTACTCTGGAGCATATGAGAGTGTGATATAGCAGTTCTTTACAAGAGCTTGTAAGTCAATTTTTTTCAGATGACAGAGAAATGGTTTCAAAGATTTGCAGGCAGGTACTGTATTAAACTGTTAATATATGCTTTATCTATTGCCATTTATCTTATTAAATTCCTACAAATTCCAAGTTCAAATCATTCACTGGTTCATTGTAGACTGTTTAAAGGAATTTTTAGGATAGTTTGCCTCAAAGAATCCAGTTGCATTCTAAAAGAGCTCAGAAATGTTTAGGCTGGTTCTGCAAATGATTCTATCAATTTCTGTGTGATATCTGGAGTAGGATGGCTGATAGGATTTCTCTAAACTGGCTTTTCAACATACTTCAAAGATGGTCCTATAATACAGAGGTCCCCAACCTTTTGGGCACCAGGGACCAGTTACATGGAGAGAGGTTTTTCTGCAGATTGGAGGGGACATGGTTTTGTGTGCTACCTGCATCCTGCAGATGGGGCTTTGCTTGTTTGTGCAGGCTGGTTGCTGCCATGCCATGGCCCAGTACTGGTCCACGGATTGGGGGTGGGGACCCCTGCTATAATACATGGCAGAACTGCAGGTGCTGACTTGAATATGATAAGGCACAGCATAAAGTATGTGTGCAGGCTTATGCTACTATATATTAATGTGTGCATCAAAGCGGCTGCTTTGTTTTCTGCTTTTATTGCATCAACAAGCTCAAGACCTGCTGAATTGTTTTAGATTTATTTGTTTGTTTGTTAAATAGATTTATAGAGATACTTAACTCACACATGATTCCAGGCAGCATACACCAGGGTTCCCCAACCCCCCAGTCCGCGGACCAGTACCAAGCTGCAGCCAGTTAGGAACCGGACTGCATAGCTGGAGGCATGTGGTGAGTCTGCAGGAGTCTGGGCAGGGGCATGAGTGTGGCAGGGCAGAAACCGGCTTGCTCAGTACAAAGGTTCTCCAGCGGCTGCACTTGCAACTGGCGTGCAACAGCTGAGCTCAGCGTCCTTCCTCCTCTTCCTTCTCTTCCTCCTCTTCCTCCTGCTTCTTGTGGTCTCCCTTCTTCTGCCTCCTGCTCCTCCTCCTGCTTCCTCTTCCTCCTGCTTCCTCTTCCTCCTGCTACTTTTTCTTCCTCCTCCTCTTCTTCCTCCTCTTCTTCTTCACTTTCCTCCTCTCCCCCTCTCAGCATCCCAGCTGGGCTCGTGCTCCCTTCACACAAGTCTCCAAGTTTGCAAGGCAAGCGCAGGCCAACCCAGCTTGCAATCGGAGGCTTCCCCAAAACCTCATTGGAGGGAGATCCCCCCAAGGTATGTGTTTGTGAGGGTGCTTTCTCAGGGTGCAAATAGGGGCAAGGAGAAGCTACCTTTCACTTTAAGCACTGCATCTTCAAGGGAATCTCTCTCGTTTGCACCTTTTCTAAGACCGCTGAGTTTTTTGCATTTGTTTTGATGGTGCTCCAGGTACCTCATGTTTTGGCAATTTCCTGCCTGCTTTTCATGGTTTAATTTTGTATGCGTGTGTCTGTGTGTGTGTTTGTGTGTTACGCTCCTTTCTTCATGCAGCTCTCAAGTTTGCAAGCCAAGTGTGCTCCTACCTGGCTTGCAATGGGGCAGGGAGGGGAGAAGCTACATTTCCCCTTCTGTGTCTCCAAGGGAATCCCTCTCTCATCTGCACCTTTTCTAAGGCTGCTGGGCTTGCACAGTGCTCTCTCTCTTTCTTTTTGAATGGTTTTCTCAGCACTTCCTCAATGTGCTCAGTCTTTGGTTTGTTTTGCTGGATGGCTGAGTTTAGGACTGTCTCTTTTCCTTCCCACTTTCTTAGAAGCAGAAAGTCACTGGTTCAATCTAATACAATATAATAATAATAGAAATAAAGTGCATTATTTATTTATTTGTTTATTTAAAAAATTTAGAATAAATATAATGAATCATCCTGAAACCTCCCCCCCCTCCGGTCCATGGAAAAATTGTCTTCCATGAAACCAGTGCCTGGTGCCGAAAAGGTTGGGGTCCTCTGGCATATACCATTAAAAATCAACAATATAAAAACCCCAAAAGGCAGACACATACACGCGCACGCACACACACTATGGCAGTGACAAACAAAATTTTACAAGCCACTTGATCAGCTGCAAATCAAAATGGCGTCTCCTATCCCACTGACAAAAACCATGTCTTCGTGGCATTCCAGAAATGTAGCAAGGAGGGAATCAACTTTATTTCCAGGAGAATGATGTTTCAAAAGGAGGGAATCACTACATAGAAGACCTTCTTCTAGATCAGGTGTAGCTCCTTAATAGATGAGACCTATAACATACCCAGCCTTTCCACTCTGGTGGGCCAAGTAGATGTAACTGGGGACACATAATTTGTCATATACCCGTGCCCCAAGCTATGCAGGGTTGTGAGCAATCTAACTGGTACTGCTGTCTCCTCTTCCCAGAATTATTTTATAAAACCCTCAGAGGATTGTTGTAACACTTTATGTGAGGTTTTTGAGGAAAATATCTCTGCTGACCAATCCTGATGCCACCTTTGATGAAAAGCTAACTATGGGTATATCTACTGACTCCTTGAACAATTAAACAGAATATACTTCAATATGTGATGTCTCGGGATATGGACAGATTCTTGGAACAATATGCTCCACCACTGGATCTTTCTCAAAGGTGGCTCATAAGTTCTAGCCAGTAGAATATTAAAGATGCTAGAGTTCACATCTTCCAACTTTATCAGTCCCTTGAAGTAGCCCAGACTAGGAAACTAAAGTTAAGAATGCCAATACTACATTTTTTATGAAGTTATAGTAACAAAATCTTGCAAGTCTGAATGCACTTCCCCCTCCTCCATTATGATCTATCAGAAAACTAGAGGGGATCAAGCCTGAGACACTTTCTGAAACTATTTCTCAACTTCAGATTTATTTTGTCTCACATTGTCTTAGTTCTGACTCTCCCTCTTATTCCTCAAGGCTACTTTTACTGCTTGTTATAATCCCACTCTAAGAAATTGCAGAATGTATCCTTGTTTAAGGGAATCCATTGTTAGTGCTCTTCTTAAGAAGCCGGTCTGGATCTGTCAAATGAGGGTGATAATAGGTCAGTCTATAACTCCCACGGTTAGATAGGTGGCTGATAGAATGGTATTTTTCAACTGCAGGCAGACCTAGAGGAAACAGAGTATTTTGACAATTTTAAAATGACTTCAATTGGGCTACAGAATTGAGATTGCCTTGATTAGGTTGATGTATTATTTTTGACTTGAGATTGACAGAGGGAGCACAGCCTGTTGGTTCTTTTTGACCTCTCAGCTGCCTTTGATATCATTGCCTCAGAAGAAAGGCATAGCTTTGTAATGGTTCCATTATTCAGTCTCCAACACTTCAATTATCTACAAGAAGCCACTGAAGGGAATCAGAAATTTTGGAGCTGTGTGCTATCAGTAAGCTGATGACATCAAGATTTATTTTTCAGGAACTGGTGTGGCTCCTCTGAATGCCTGTCTGCAAACAGTACAGGCTAAATGAGAGGAAAAACTGAAATTGAGTCCAGGGAAGGCAAAGAAGCTTATTGTAAGGATCTATAATTCAGGGGAGATGATAGATCAGCCATTCTGAATGGGATTTTGTCCTCCATGAAGAAGACTTTTGGTTACAAATATCTCTTTGGTTTCCTAGATTGAAGAAATGATTAGGAACAGCTTTAGTTGGTTTGCCAAATGTACCCTTTCTGGAATATAATGATCTTAAAACTATGGTTCATGAACTTATAACCTCCCAGGGTGACCACAGTAATGCATACTTGTGATCTAATAAACTTCAATTGATTAAGCTTAACTATTTTATTAACTTTTTTTAAAAAAACATTGCTTTGTATAGGGCTTTAACTGTTAATATTTATTCTAGTTATTTTAGCTATTTGCTTTAATTGCTATTTTATGGCTTTAGTATCTCCACTTTAAATTTTTAATTAATCACTGAGAATGGTGATCACCATATACACATACACACACACACCAAAAATCACAAAGGGGTCACATGCACAGAGATAATGCAGAGGAAACTAATTACCTCATAGACAAGGCTGTGAGAATGGAGGCATTTTTAAAAGGCTCTCTCTTATTGGCAATTTACTGCCCAGACATCCAGATTCATTAGGCTCCCATCTCAGGCCATTTTAACCGGTTCTTCACCCTTCCAGAGATTTATCCACTGGCAATGATCTGTCCATTGTACAGAGCTCCTCCATGTTCAGTTCATCAATCTCATCTCAACAGAATACCATAGCGAACATTTGTCTTGCTGTTTGCTAGCACCCTGATCCTCATAGGGACAAGTTGATAATTATCACCAACTGGGTGAACTCAGTTTGTGTAGAAATGAAAATCACCTAAAACAAGAAGTCTAGGGTAATGCTACAACTATGTCAAGAGGAGAGGTTCCTTGGTAGCAGATTGGTTAGCACACTAACAGTAACCCAAAACTACCTTGGCCTGCCAAAGACAACAGCAAGAACTCAACATTGGTAAATCCCTTCCACTTTCCCTGCTCTTCAATCCATGGCAAGCAGACCATGGACATTGCTGAGAGAGATGAACTTCTCCAGCTGATGACTGCCAGGTCTTTATGATACATGATACATCAATATGTT